GAAACTCCTTTAACTCGCTTGCTTCAGGATAAAATTACATCGCTTGTTATTGATACTATTCTATCTGAAGATACATTTACAGAAGGTGCGAAGCGTGCAGATGTATTTGCCTGCATTTTAATTTTATTCTCAAAGTTAGAATGTCTCCACTCTGGGTCAAGTGATTGGGATCAACCATTATTTCAAATTCCTGCAACTATTTCTTCTTCAACTCTGCTAGAATTGCATGTTATATTGGAAACATTTACCGATTGTCTGTATTTACTTGACGGTCGTTTCAACTCACTTCAAAAACTTTTCGTTGATGTTTGTCGAATAGTATCTCCACGGATAATAATCGATAATCAGGTGAATTACACAGTTTAATATCGAATGAAGTAAAATAAAATTAATTTTTTTTTTCTAGAAACAAATACCCAATCTAAAACATTTTTGCTCTATAGTGAACGGGATACAGATAAGTATAATGAATTGATTGTACCACTTATATATCGAATGATCAATCTAGAAGAACTCAATTTACATCTTGTTGTCTATTGTGAGAAAAGATTTATTGATGATTATGATTTAAAACGCAATATTATCAGTCATTTATTACAATTAAATAAATTTGTATTTAACATACAATCACGTTTGCCTCTAAATGATCAGGCTTATTTATCATCAAATGAACATTGTCAACGTTCATTCAATGGGTTTAAAAATAATAAAATAATTTCTTGTGTTGATTATTTCCCAGATCGCAAAGAAGGTCATTGTCATATTTATTCATATCCATATCCAGCAAAATATTATGAATATATTACAAATAATTTCCAAGATGGATTGTTTAAATATGTTCGTGAAGTCTCATTATATGACGAACGTCCTTTTGAACATGAATTCTTTATAAAAATTGCTAAATCCTTTCCATTTATGGAAAAATTAACTGTATACAATAATAAACCACAGATGAACAAATTTGATGAACGATCAAAAGATGATAATCGACATTTATCAGTTATTCAATATCCTTATCTTCGTCTACTTGATTTGTTTGATGCTCATGATGATTATGCGGAACAATTTCTACTGGAATTTAAAACGTGTTTACCAATAAAACTCGATTTACACGTTTACTTTTCAACTTTGCGTAGAGTAACACACAATTTTACTTGCTGAAAGACTATATGCCTGATGCGAAACTTATTGCAAATAGATGAATTAAAGTAAATCGAAGATGTATAAAATAACCTAAAAAAAAAGCTTGTTCTATATTTTATTGATGAAAAAAAGAATTTCGATGCGTGTGAAAATGATTTTATTTGAAAAATGTTTATTTAAAAATATGAAAAATAAAAATCTATAAGATTTTGATTATTTAAAAAATCAGAGATATCGAATGGATTTGATTGATGCGGGTATCCATTGGATTGATCCTAGCCCAACCCGTAGCTTCTCAAAAGAGATATTTTTGAAAAACAGCCAATAGCTACTTAATCAACCTATATATACTTCATGGTTTTGCTATAGGTACTTATTGATCATACATCTACTCAATATTAGCTACGTGAAGTTTCATATAGCTATTCAAATATCCTACATGTATGTAAATTTCCTATAGCTATTTACAGTTTACGTAGTGATTAAAAACTCCGCAGCCATTTCAACATACCACACCAATTAGAAATTCATAGCTAATGATAAAAACCAATCGCTATTTATAAACTAATAGCTGTTTAAAGAAAATTAAATATTTCTTTCTCTATTTTATAACTATTGTAACCTTTTCATAGCT